CTTGTGAAACAATGATGAGTAAAACTTTACCCTACCAAGAAGCTTCTAAGCATTGACAAGAGAAAAGGCAATGAAGAAGACGATTAAGGAGGAAGCATATATGAAATCCCCAGACCAAACAAGTAATCTTTTTTTGTGTATAATGATCAGAAAATTCTTTGAATAATTTAAATATTAATTTAAATTATTAGAAAAAAATTATGTTCGATTGAGATCAATTAGTTAAAAAAAAGTTCAATTTGATATTAAAATGAAAATAGAAAAATAATAATTGAAAGTATAAAGATCAAACTATAAAAGAAGCAAATATGAAAATCTTACATGATAATTATCCCAACCAGTAAATAGCGGGATTTGATGAAATATTGCCTTTATGTGTCAAACATTGTGTCATTTAGAACCTATCGATTAATATGTATGTAATAAACATTTTATATTAAAATATCAATTAATAATTATATAGTAATGTTATAGATTCAAACAGTTGCGTTTACGAATATGTCTACAATGTCAATATAATTTAGAAAGATTCTAAACGTTTATTACCCCTTTAATCACCCTCCGCTATTAAAATAAACATAACCATTAAATAAATTTCAGCTACTAAAATTATAATAAAACTAATTTTATTACTAATTAAAATTTGGGTTAATATACAACTGTTTTAGTAGGCTATTGTTATTTGGAAAACTAAATGAGAATATGATGCTAATAATGCAAACGTGATTCCCATTGTTTCATTTAGTGGTGGATGATGGGATATGAATGTTTCCACTAATTACACTTTTTGTTTAATTTTTTCATATCCTCCTGCTAAAGATGATGCTTTTTGTTCTTTATTCTCCAATAATATGTTTTTAATAGCTATAAATAAAGAAAATCATAAAAGAGCCTAATCAAACCTATACTCTTTTTATGGGAAGAGAGATATTAAATTATTCTTAAAATATTTGTTTATCAAAAAACTTTTTTTGGAAACAGAAGAGCTTAAACTAAGCTAAAGTGCATCAATTATCTAATCCTAATTTATATGACCCTGCTGTCAAAAATAAAAAAATTATGACCCTTATTTTAAATTGGTCCTTTAAGTATTTTAATATTCCAATTTCATCGTAAAACTATTACTCATCAATCTAAATTAGTCTTTAAACTTTTGAACATTCTAATTTTACCCCAAATTATGATCCTCATTTTAAATTGGTCCCCCAAACTTTTAAATATTCCAATTTCATCCCCAAATTCATACATATATGTGATTAATTTCAACCGTAGTTTAACCTAGATTTTTATTTTTTTTTTAAAACATATAATAATATACATTGACTTAACAATTTTATTAACAAGGGATGTGATTAGTATATATGCATAGTTTGGGATCAAATTCAAATGTTCAAAAAGTTTGGGCGCTAATTTAGAATGAAGTTCATAGTTTGGGGATTGAATCAAAATGTTCAAAAGTTTATGGACTAATTTAGAATGATAGTCATAGTTTGAGGATGAAATTCGAAATTTAAAAATTTAGAGACTAATTTAGATTGCAGATTATAATTTGAGAACATGTGATGCAATTAACTCGTTTTTTAAATAGTTCATTTGCAAGAATTTGATAAACTTTAATGGCAATTTTATAATTATTATTTTATTATATTTAAAAGTTGATTGATTAAAAATTAGTTTAATATAATTTAATGACCTCTTATATATTACTTGAATTAAAAAATTATTGTTATTTGAGTCCAAATTATCCAAACTTGAATAAAGGAATTCAGACAACAGCTCCATCCGTTCAATCAACAGAGAAGCCTTGCTTGGTCAAAATCCGAATAAATGAATTGATATATTTGGTTTTATCGTCGAGAGTATGTGTGGCTGTGGTACAACTACTCAATTAAATTGCTTATGAACTAAAAGTAATGTAAATCTTATGAGTTGTGATTTGATAAACTGAATTAATATTTTATTTATTACAAATCACTACAAAATATTAGCCGACTTAATCTAAAAGTTTTGTAGAGATGATATCAAAGATCCAATATTATATGAATGAGTGGTTTTAGTGGTAAGATGGTGTTATTAAAAATTTAGGATCAAATAATTGTGTCTGTAAAATATATGTTCGTGACTCTTATTAATGAAGCTTGTTGAGTGGCTAAGGCGTTGGATACGAGCCAATTATTTTTTTTTCTTTTCTTTTTTATTATATGGTTGATTTTTTTTCTATAAAAAATCCTTTATAGATTGCATGTGGGGATCTTTGCATGAGTATTGAACAATTATTGTCGGTGTTATTTGCATGTTTTCTTGATGATATATCATATGGATATTATAGACATATTCTAGACTTAATGATATATCATGGATATTCTACTCTTTTTTCTTTGTTTGATCTCAATAATCATTGTCTACTAATTTCAAGATTTACTTTTAATATATATTTTTTAATTTGTTTATATAATTTGAGGTGATTATAAGATAATATTTGTTTATAATATTCTTTAATTACTGACGATATACATTCTATAGACGTAATTACTCGAATTCAAGACCTCTAAGAAAAACAATAATCCTTTTAATTACCGACATCATTTAAGGAATTCTTGCTTCTTTTTTCCGGACAATTCTTTCTTTTAAAAGTTATGTTAACGTGGACATAAAGGAGGTCTTAGTAATAAAGGTTGATATTATCTTTTTAAGCGGTTTAAATTTGAGTGATGTTATTTGTATAGTGTGTATAAATTTATCAAATAATAAATATTATCATAAAATTATTAAATAATATTAAATAGATTTGTTGACATAATAATTTTAATCTTCAATATTTATGTCATGTTTTATTTTTAATTAAATGAATATCAAATTTATGTTCAAAGGACTATACGAATTTGATAAAAAAATTTGAGATCGATTGATTGTTGATAACTAACTATGATCGAAACGACGAGCGACGTGGTGGTCAGATATTGAATAGGTTCAACATAGGGAAAGAAAATGAGAAGGAAAAAAGAATAAATAAGGAAAAAATAAAATATAAATATTTATGTAGGAATTTAAAACGACCCCATTTTAAACTTTAACTTTTTACAGGGGTCCAAAATTATGTTATTTTCGTGTGTCATCACACTATCTGTCATATCATCACATCGTTTGTTATTTAATAGTCGAGTGATGAATGTAATGTAAAAATTAAGTAATTAAATTAAGTTTTTAAATTCTAATGACTAAAATAAGAGTAAGACAAAAGTCGAGGAATAAAATTTAAATTTACCCACTTATAAAAGAAAAGGAAAATAGATTGAAGATGAAAAAGCTGACTATGCTTAATCTCGAAAAGATCATTAGCAAAGAAAAAAATTTAAAATACCAAATAACGACAACAGGAAGTAAACGGGACACCTGTTATAATTTTTACTATGGCATTTACGCATTTTTTCAGAATCGAATCGGTTAGCGAACTGGTCATACTATCATTTCATTGATTCAATCGGTTGAATCGGTCTGATTGGTCGGAAGAACCGGACGACGTCATAATTATTTAAAAATTAAATAAAATACTAAAAATATTTAATAAAAAATAATTTTTTATATCACAAGTCATATTCAAAGCAAGTCATAACATATATAAGTTAAAAATCATAAAATCAAGTGAAACAAAATGATTCAAATTAACTACAACATAATATTTAAGGTAAAACATATTAAATAATAAATATAATTATATAACTATAATTAAAAAATAAATTTGGGGTTAAAAAAATCATAACAAAATGATATTTGTTTGATTTAATTTTAAAAAAAACAATCTCACATGGCTAAGAAACATAGAAGAGCATCCCAAAAGTCTAAAGAGTAAAAATATGAAAACAAAACAATTCCACATTTCTAATAAACATAGAAGAGCATCACAACTAACTTCTATAAATAATTGAGGTAATTTGGCATTCAAAATCATGGAGCCTTTTGGAGAGCATTGAGTGAACTATTTTTTCACTTCAATCAAGCTCGAATTTTAGGCTTCAATCTAGCTTCTAAATTTTTTTTGAGTTCAAACCTTTTTGAGTTCAAATTTCAATATTATATTTCAAGTTTGAGTTGAACTTGATAATTTTTAGCTCGTGAGTTTGAGTTGAGTTGAACTTACTTTTAAAGTTTTCAAGTTCGAGTCGAGCTCAGCAATACTCGAGTTCGACTTGGTTCGTTTAACAAATGACGTCGTTTGGTTTAATTTGTTTTAAAAAAAACAAAAAATTTTCCGGTTTTCAGTCGGTTTGGTTCGAACGGTTCAACGATTTTGGCCGGTTCACTAGTAACGGTTCAACCGGTGTAGATTGAACCGGACTAGACAACGATTCCCGGTTGAACCGATTGAACCAACCGGATCCGATCCGATTTTTAAAACACTGCACTTACGTATATAATATGTTGAGCATATTAAAATAAAAATCATATATATATATATATATTAAAGGTGACACATTAACTTATTGATAATCATTTTAAAAATCCAAGAAATTCATCTTCAACTCTCTGCATAATTAAAAAAATAGAAGTTAAGGTTATACAACTCTCAAGCTTCCAAGTAATCCAACTTATGATAATTGCAAGTATTCTCGGACAAAGAAATTCTCACCAATAAGCATATCCCTTAAAAAACAAGACAAACAAACGAGGATAAAAGAGCAAAGTACAGTCTTTTGTAAAGGTTTACTTGAATAAGAGTGAAAATGGCCATATTTTAACTGTAAACATCACCGATTTCCCTGTATAATCAATGACTGGTGTAGGATAAAAAACCTACAGCTTTTCCATTGACTTTTAGCTGTCCATTTAAAAAAAACAAAGATGATGCTTTCAGGCTTAACTATGCACATGCAATAAAATACAAACACGTTGGGGTCCACATGATAACGATGCGTGGGACCTAGTTTGACATATTGGTTCCAATCACCATTAATCAATCCACCTACCTCAACTTCCCTGGAAACTGAACTGAAAGATTTAAGTGAAACAAGAAGAAAGCTGAACCTCTAAAAGGCATCAGACAGTGTAGATTTGCAGATTGTGTTTGTTGTTTTCAGTAGGATATTTGGAAACTATAGGAAAAACCCAATGTCCAAACAAACTTACAGGGTCTGTTTCTGCTTCCAGAGGAGGTTTAGGCTGGCAGTTTCAGAGGCACCGGAGGATATCAAGAAGGTGTTTGAGCAATACTCTGAGAATGGGATGATGAGCATTGAAGGATTGCAGAGGTTCTTGGTGGAGTTCCAGAAGGAAGATAAGGCTACCAGAGAAGATGCTCAGAAGATTATTGATAGTGTTAAGCATTTTCATAGAAAGGGTCTAAATCTAGAAGCTTTTTTTAAGTACCTCTTTGCTGATATTAATCCTCCTCTTGCTTCTCTTGGGGTAAATACAATTTCTCTGCTTCTGTCTCGCACTCATGATTGTCTTTATCCTTTTTAGGCTTATTAATTGGGGTTGAATGATTTTGTCCAAATTAGTTGATTAATGTTTTCGTTTGGTTGCTGTATAATATTTTGGAGCTAAGTTCAACTTTTGTGAATATGATTTTTGAGTTGAATTTTCTTTTTGGGTTTTCACCTTTACTACAAGTAGATAATTTTCTTACACTTATGTTTTTATTAGGAAAATTTGGTCTTGCATTGTATGGGATTTAAATGAAAAACAGTACTTGTTTTTTAGCTCAGCAAGTTTTCAATAGCTTTTAGGATGGTCCTGGGATCATACCAATTTGTGGGAAAACTTAGGAGTTTGGACCAATATATGCAGTTGGTAGTGCTATTGTTGTTTATATCATGTTCATTTCTCTGATTGCAGGTTCACCATGACATGAGTGCTCCTTTGTCTCATTATTTCATATATACTGGTCACAATTCCTACCTTACTGGGAATCAAATCAGTAGTGACTGCAGTGATGTCCCCATCATAAATGCACTTAAGAGAGGTGTTCGGGTGATAGAATTGGATATGTGGCCGAATTCGTCAAAGGATGATGTCGATGTTCTTCATGGAGGGTATGTTTTTGAAGTGCAGATTGTTACTCAAATGGATCTTTCCTTCAGTGAAATGATGATCATTTACTTAAATTGACACTTTTTGAGATGTTATCTTGAACATATGGATTACACTTATACTGCCAAATCTTGAAGAAAGAAACATGATTCTGCATTAGTGCTATAACTTAGCATGTTTTGCAGCTGTTGTTCACTAGATCACTACAACTTGATCGACCCCTTCATGCAGGACATTGACTACTCCAGTGGAACTCCTAAAGTGTTTGAGGTCCATTAAAGAGTATGCTTTTGTTGCCTCTGACTACCCGGTCATCCTAACTCTGGAAGACCATCTTACACCAAATCTTCAGGCTAAAGTTGCCGAGGTAAGTCTCCTTGCTTTTCATGCGAGTTAAGCATCTAATAATTTGATAATTTACGCTTCTTTTTGCTAATTTCTAGATGGTCACACAAACATTTGGAGACATACTGTTTTCTCCTGGCTCGGAATGCTTAAAAGAGTTTCCTTCTCCAGAATCATTGAAAAAACGCATAATCATATCTACAAAACCACCAAAGGAATACCTCGAGGCCAAGGAAGTCAAGGACAAAGAGGATGGTTCGGAGAGGGGTAAGGCGAGTGATGAAGAAACTTGGGGGAATGAAGTTCCGAACCTTAAAGGCAGTCACGTAGCGGATTACAAGGTGTATGATGATATAAGTTGCTGTTTACTACTTCAAATTGATCTTACTAGCCGTTTCTGTAGAATTTACATATTGCTCAGGATCTGTTTCATGACAGAATGACTTGGATGAAGAAGATGAGGAAAATGCAGACGACGGAGATAAGTCGCAGCATTCACTAGCTCCGGAATATAAAAATTTAATTACTATTCGTGCTGCGAAGCGGAAAGGTGGATTTGATGAGTGGCTAAAGGTGGATCCTGATAATGTGAGACGTCTTAGCATTAGTGAGCAACATCTTGAAAAGGCTGCACTAACTCATGGAAAACAAATTGTCAGGTATTTAGTGAAAGATTCTGCAAATTTCATTTGGTATTTGTGTGTCATCATATAAATGTTCATGTCTTATGAAGGTAGTATTGACATGGTGTTATACTATAATTGACTGAAATGTGCTTATAACTCTTGCTCTGATTGTATATTCTGAATGTACTGCTACAGGTTTACGCAGCCGAATATTCTTCGGGTATTTCCGAAGACTATACGTGTCGACTCATCTAATTACAACCCGTTAAATGGATGGATGCATGGAGCTCAAATGGTTGCATTTAATATGCAGGTTTACACACCTCACTCCCTTTTCGTTCCTTCGTTTCAGCTTGTTGTATCAATGACAAAAAGTATCTAGTCCCTAGGATGCATGATACGTGCATACCTTCTTGTTGGTGCATGATAGGGTCATGGAAGATCTTTATGGTTGATGCACGGAATGTTCAAAGCCAATGGGGGATGTGGCTATGTGAAAAAACCAGATTTCCTTTTGAACTCTGACGAACTCTTCGATCCGAAAATCAAGTTACCGGTGAAAACAACTTTGAAGGTGAGTCGATCGCCATCAGGTCGATGTACGGATATATACCCAATCAATGTTTATGATTATTTTTTCTTGTCGGTTTCAAAAGGTGACTGTGTATATGGGGGAAGGATGGTATTATGATTTCCATCACACACATTTTGACGCATATTCGCCGCCAGACTTTTACACAAGGGTAAGTCAATGTTACTTAGAATGGAAGCAAGCTTTATCTTTAACCCTGAAAATTTGATCAATATGCCTCCAGGTGGGTATAGCTGGAGTTCCTGCTGATTCAGTAATGAAGAAAACAAAGATCTTAGAAGATGACTGGTTGCCTTGTTGGAATGAAGAGTTCGAGTTCCCTTTAACTGTCCCGGAACTGGCTCTGCTACGGATCGAAGTTCACGAATATGACATGTCTGAAAAGGATGACTTCGGAGGCCAAACATGTCTTCCGATTTCCGAGCTAAGAAGTGGCATCCGAGCAGTTCCACTCCATTGCCGAAAGGGTGTTAAGTACAATTCTGTCAAGCTCCTTATGCGCTTCGAATTCATCTAGTTCCCCGAAGGAGAGTTTGAGTTTCAACAGTTTCTGAAACCAACTTCAAATTGATTGATCATACTTGTGAGAGCTTATGTGCAGACTGCAGTTATCTATTACATGTTAGCTCTTGTAATATATAATATATATATATCATCCTTATCTGTATTTTGTACTACATAATTATGTGACGGACAAATAATCGTACACTGTTTGTGTAATATCTAAGAAGCAATAATCTTATATGTAATGTTCATCTGTTACTCTCATTTTTAAGTGCAGAATTTGTATAGTTTTATCATCTTCACTTGCTGCATGCATAATGCGGTGGGAAAACACGAGAAAATACTCTTTTATGCAAAAAAAAAAATCATAAGTATCATAATATAACTATGTGTTACTGTCTATTTCTATAATACGGTTACGTATTACTGTCTGCTAGAGAAATAAGGTGATACCGAGTTCAAGAAACTCTACCTGTAGTGATTAGTGGATGGATGGATAGTTAAGAACTTACTAGTATGTGTCCAAATTTTTCATGTTTGCCTATTTTATGAGTTAATTCTGGCATGTAACATGTTTTCTAGTTAAATTATGTAACATGTTGGTAAAATAAACTACAAAATTACACGTTAGCACTGACAGGAAATATAAACAGTAATTAAAAGGAACATATTCATAAACCGTGTCGTTGTATAACCACTGCCTTAGAAACGAATTCGCCCCGATGTGTGTAATCGCTGCAATAGGCAGACCGTCCCCCGAAGTTAACACGGTCGCTCCGAATTCTGTACACCCGAAATTGGAGTGGACTGTCGGTGGTATTGCTCTTCTTATCGGAAAGCACACAGAGAGAATATTTAGAAAACACTTGGAGAGTAAATTCTGAATGTTGAGAGTGAGTTGAGAAGTTAAATATAGCTCTCTATTTATAGGCTAGAAATAGGGTTAAAATCGTCCATAAAATTTCAGGATTAAATCTCTTCTTTGTAACAGCTGAAACGTCTAGATGAACCTGACTCAGAAATAGTCCAGGTTCATTGCATCATTATTCAGCTGTTATAACTCCCGAAATTATATCATGTAACCCCTTAAATTAAATCAAATAACTCCTGTAACTCTTGATATTAACAGCTCGTCCCCTTTGTACAAAGCTAGAAATCAGTCCAGATACATCTTAACGTTTTTTATTTAATTTAGGAAAAGCTGTTTAATTTCTGATAACTCTCATAAACCAACTGTTATCATTTAAATTTAAACAGTCCTCAGCAGCCTATAAATATCAGTTGAAATCTTTCACATTTTTTCATTTGTTTCTTTCAAAGATAAATTCCTCAAGAATTTTCTCTAAAAAGATAGTATCCGCGCGGACGTGTCGAAGACACGTATTACCACGACCACGACTCGAGCCGAGCCGAGACGAGATGAGACAGACGACGGCGGCAACGGTGCGCGAGAGTCCCCCTTGTTCTCTTTCACTCAATAAGGGAGTGGGAAATCCAAACCATAAATACTCATTCCCAATAGTATTTCCAATACTATGTGAGATTGAGCATTACCAACATTCCTCCACTAATGCGAAAGAATTCTTCTGAAACTCGAAAACAAACTTTCCAGAAGAACAATAACGAGATTAGTTGCTTAAGCACTAGTGAACGTATCTAGAACTAGTACATAGTGATAATGAGCAATTATTCTCTTAGATAAGTGAAACTAGTCTGGAACTTTCTAAGATGGGGATAAACTCATAACACACAACTAACCCCTTCATCCACCTGAGTCCTCAATGTGTAAGATATATATATATATACAAAAGTATATATTTGGCCATCATACCTCAGGATTCTAGTAAGTGTGCTAGAAAAATGACCCAACATTTTTCATAGAAGGCGGCTAACCCTTCTCACTTACATAGGTTATTTCATCAAGTTTATCTCGATATAAACCACCCTTAACAGGAATATGAAATAATTAAGAGCTTTTATAAAAGCTCAACCTCATAAAGAGTATGGTGACTTTCTTCAAGTTCATTATAAATGAACCACCCAAAATCTGGGCTAAGAATTCATTAAGAATAAATATTCAACCTCATTTATCGTTAAATTCAATAAGTCCTTCTCACTAGAACCATCCAAATACTTGGATTTGAATTTATTAAGAGTTTAACAAACTCAACCTTTCTGTTGGTAAGTTCATTATTTCCTTCTCACTTAGGAATACCCACTCAAATTGGGTTATGAACTTATTAAGAATAGATATTCAGCCAAAATCGGTAAATTCATCAAGTCTTTCTCACTAAGACCACCCAAAGCCTGGGCTATGAATTTATTAAGAGCACTTAAGCTCATCCTGGGCATGCACATTATTCGTCATAGGGATAGGAAGTAGGAATGTGCACTATGAGTCTTTTCATGGTTTCGTTTAACCACATGGAACTTAAATAACTAAGTTGGGTATCCACCATGAATTCCTCAACCAATGGGCTTGAGACCCATCCCCCTCGACGAATCTAGGACCAGCTTCTGACTTAACCCTTTGGTAAGCGGATCTGCTAGGTTCCTTTCCGACTTCACATACTCTAAAGAGAGCACCCCATTCTTTATTAAGTGTCTAACTGATTCATGTCTTATGCGAATGTGTATTTTCTTACCATTGTAAGCTTGGTTCTTAGCCACACATATCACAACTTGTGAATAACACAACAATGAAACTGGAGGAGTCGGTCTTCCCCACAACGGAATATCTGCTAACAAACTTCTGAGCCACTCAGCTTCTTGTCCAACTAGGTCAAGAGCTATAAACTCTGACTCCATGGTAGAACGAGCAATACAAGTCTGCTTTGATGATTTTCACGAGATTGCTGCTCCACCCAAAGTGAAAACATACCCACTCGTAGAGCTTACCTCATTATTATCAGAAACCCAGTTGGCATCACAATATCCTTCTAATACCGTAGGAAAGCCAACAAACTCAAGTTTCCAATCCAAAGTACCCTTAAGATACTTCAGTAAGCGTTTAAGAGCAATACAGTGCTCACCACTCGGATTATGAGTATATCTACTCAGTCTACTCACAGCATAAGTAATATCAGGCCGAGTATAGTTCATTAAGAACATTAAGCTCCCAATTAATTTAGCATATTCAATTTGGGAAACGCTACTTCCTTTATTATTAAATAGATGTATGTTAGGGTCATAAGGAGTTCGAACATGGACGACATCAAAACTGTCAAATTTCTTTAGCACTTTCTCTATATAATGTTCTTGACATAAAGAAAATCTCTTCTCAGTTTTGGTAATTTTGACTCCTAAGATTACATCTACTTCTCCCAAATCTGTCATCTCAAACTTAGTGGACAAGAAATTTTTAACTTTGTTAATGGACTCAATGTTAGAACTGAAAATCAACATGTCATCAACATAAAGACTTATGATAACACATTCAGTTTCAAACATCTTCGAATATACACAAGCATATGAACCATTCATAACAAAACCAAAACTAAGAATAGTTTTATGAAATTTCTCATACCACTGTTTAGGAGCATGCTTAAGTCCATAGAGTGACTTTTTGAGTCTACAGACTTTGCCTTCCATACCAGGTGCTTCAAAACCTAGTGGTTGCTCCATGTAAATCTCCTCATCTAGATCTCTATTAAAGAAAGCAGTCTTAACATCCATTTGATGTACCTGCAACTTATGAATAGAGGCTAGTGCAAATAATGCACGAATCGTTGAAATTTTTGTAACGGGAGAGTATGTATCAAAGTAGTCTAAACCAAACCTTTGAGTGAACCCTTTGACAACTAACCTTGCCTTGTACCGCTGAATCGAACCATCTGGCCTTAGTTTCTTCCGGAAGACCCATTTGTAGGAGATTGGTTTGAATCCCTTAGGCAAGTCAACTAATTCCCAAGTATGATTAGACATTATCGATTCTAATTCATCATTAACATCGCTTTTCCAAAAACTAGCATCGATAGATCTTATAGCTTCTTCAAAAGTTTTAGGATCCTCATCTAACAGAAAAATTTGAGCTATAGGATCTGAAATGGAGTCTAAATCATTTATTTCAGAAATAAAGGAAGTAATAAAGTCTGGTCCAAAAGAGGTTTCAACTCTTTGCCTTTTACTTCTTCTAGGCTCAAAATCAATTTGTTCAGAAGACCTAGCAGGATTACTAGAAGAAGTTGATGGAATATATTATATTTGTGTTTCAATATTTATTCTTGGTTCCTTTAAAGGAAAAGTATTTTCAAAGAAAACAACATCCCTTGACTTACAAATAGAATAATCTTGTAAAAGCATGAATCTGAATGCAACACTATTCGTAGCATACCCTATAAACACTGCATCAATAGTTTTAGGTCCGATGGTGGACTTCTTAAAGTCTGGCAAACCCACTTTAGCCAGATACCTCCACACTTTTATGTATTGTAAATTAGGAGCGTATCCTTTCCACAATTCATATGGGGTATAATCTAATTTCTTATGAGGAACTCGGTTCAAGATATGAGTTGACGATAGAATGGCTTCCCCCACATGTTATCAGATAACCCTGAACTTATTAGTAAATAATTCATCATTTCTTTTAAAGTTCTATTTTTCCTTTCGGCTATACCATTCTGTTGAGGAAAATAGGGGGTTGAAGTTTCATGAATTATGGCATTCTTTTCACAAATATCTTTTAAGAAATTAGATCCATATTCACCACCTCTATCAGATCTAACCCGTTTGATTCTCCTATCTAACTGATTTTCAACTTCTGCCTTATAAATAAGAAAGAAGTTTTCAGCTTCATCTTTAGTCCTTAAGAGATAAACTTTTGTATATCTTGAATAATCATCTACAAAAGTTATGTAGTAGTGTTTTCCTCCTTTACTTTCAGTGTTTCTAAAATCTGCTAGATCAGTATGAATAAGTTCTAACAACTCAGTCTTTCTATTAGAAACAGTCTTAAAGTGAGGTCTAGTATGCTTAGCTTCTACACAAATCTCACATTTGTTAAAGCTAGTTGTGTCTAGTTTAGGCAGAACATTCATATTTATTAATTTCTTTAAATAATGAATATTCACGTGTCCTAATCTAGCATGTCACATATCAATTGATTCAACAATATAAGCAGAAGTGGTAGCTTTATTTTCATTAAATTGAGTTTCTATGACAAATAAACCATTACTTAAAAACCCTTTCCCAACATAATCACCATTTCGGGAAAGTACAAGTTTATCTGCCTTAAAAACTAACTTAAAGCATGCCTTATTCAGAAGCTCACCACTTATCAAATTTCTACGCAAGGCAGGTACATACAGAACATTATTTAAAGCCAGAGTTTTACCAGAGGTCAGCTTGAGTAAAACATTGCCTTTGCCTAGCACTTCAGAGCTGCTAGAGTTCCCCATGTACACACGTTCACCTACGTTCCCATCATCGAATTCGGTAAAAAACTCATTCCTTGTGCATAAATACTTTGAAGCACCAGTGTCAACAACCCATTCCAAACTGTTTTCCACCAGATTGACTTCTAAGATCACCGAAGCAATGATCTCATCATCTTATTCTACAACGTGTATCTGTGGCTTGTTTTCATTCTGGCGGTCTAAACGGTGTTGGCATTGGTAAGCTTTGTGGCTGGGTAAACCGCAGACATAGCACTTGAGCGTCTTTCTTCTAGGTTTGGCCTTTTCTGACTTCTTGAAGTTGGCAGCCTTCTGAGGTTTCGTCTTCTTGTCTTGATTCCAACGTTTCATGATCTTCTTAAATTTAGACTAAACCAAGTTAGCTCTAAAAGATAAATTACTCATAGAATTAGTAAGCTTATCTTTTAAACGGTTGGCTTCTTCAATCTTCATATGGCCCATGCGCTCTTCAAGCGAAATTTCTCTCTTCTTATTCTTAATAGAGTTGTGGTAGTCAGACCAGGACTTGGGCAGCTTCTCAATGAGAACATTGGCTTGCAGCACCTCGCACATTTGCATCCCTTCGGCGATGATGTCAGCGACTAGGTTCTCATAGTCATGGACTTGATCCATTATCGGCTTGTCATCAGTCATCTGGAATTTGAGCCATTCGCCGATAACGTACTTCTTGATGCCAGCATCGTCCGCACCATACTTTTTATCGAGAGTATCCCATATTGCCTTGGCACTCCTTTCTCTAAGGAACATATCAAATAATTTATTTGACATGTGATTGAGCATATGTCCTCGCACCGTTTTGTTGTCTTTCTCGTACTTCTTGTAGGTAGCGAGTGCAGCAGCGGCAGTTACTAGGGCATCATCATTGAGGATTGCATCAGCATCATTACCGGTAGCTGGGGTTAGCGGCATGGTAGGTGGTGGCTTGGGCAACACGTAGTCAATATCAAGTTGCTCGAAGAATATCAAGATTCTTTGGGACCACCTTCTATAATTCTTTCCATCAAGTGCATCGAGCTTGGAAAGATCGGGTATCAGATTACTCAAAGGTGTTGACATGATTGCAGTATATTTGAATTCGTTTCTAAATTGTTGGTAAAATAGACTGCAAAACTACACCTTTAGCACTGACTGGAAATATAAACAGTAATTAAAAGGAACATATTCATAAACCGTGTCGTGGTATAACCACTGCCTTAGAAACGAATTCACCCTGATATGTGTAATCGCTGCAGTAGGCGGACCGTCCCCCGAGGTTAACACGGTCGCTCTGAATTCCGTACACCCGAAATCGAAGTGGATTAAATCTCTTCTTTGTAACAATTGAAACGTCTAGATGAACCTGACTCCGAAATAGTCCAGGTTCATTGCATCATTATTCAGCTGTTATAACTCCCGATATTAACAGTTTGTCCCCTTTGTACAAAGCTGGAAATCAGTCTAGATACATCTTAACGTTTTTGATTTAAACAGTCCTCAGCAGCCTATAAATATCAGTTGAAATCTTTCACATTTTTCCATTTGTTTCTTTCAAAGAGAAATTTCTCAAGAATTTTCTCTAAAAAGATAATATTTGCGTGGACGTGTCGAAGACACGTATTACCACGACCACGACCACGACCATGAGCCGTGCCGAGCCGAGACGGACGGTGGCGACGGCGGTGCGCAAGAGTCCGTCTTGTTCTCTTTCACTCAACAAGGAAGTGGGAAGTCCAAACCATAAATACCCATTCCCAAGAGTATTTCCAATACTATGTGGGATTGAGCATTACCAACATAACAAACATGATCTCTGGGTACTTTCTACACATTGAGTCTTACAGCCCATTCCTCATTTTCTTTCTCTTTCAGATGAACTTGGTACTCCAATTCTCATACTCAGATGTTTAAAAGGATTCTCGTGCTTATATATTTTTTTACTGTTTTAAAGTATTGATTTTATTTTTTATTTATGACTTTGGAAATATTTTACTACACTTTTAAATTTTATTTTGGATTTATTTTGAAAGTATAAATTGATTTTAAATTATATGTGATATCTCGTATTTGGCTTTAATATCTATGTCAGGTTTAGAATGTTATATTTATTGATATCAGAGTGTAGTTTAATGTCTAGGTCAAACTTAAAAAGGTCTTTAATTTGACAGGTAGATCGTATGAAAACTTGAAGCGCAAAGATATTTAGTTTGCGGTAGGTGACAAGGTATTTCTCAAGGTGTCACCTTAGAAGAAGGTGCTACGTTTTGGTCACAAAGAAAAGTTGACTCCGTGCTTCATAGGACTATTTGAGGTACTTGAGAGAGTTGGACTCGTGACTTACCAGTTAGTCTTGCCACGAGAGATAGAGCACATCCACAATATGTTTCATGTATCGATTCTTAGGAGATATAATTTCGACCCACATCATTCCGGTAGAGAAAATAGAGGTAAACCACGACTTTTCCTATGAGGAATCGTTGAGGACTTTGAAATGAGAGGTCAAGAAATTGAGGAACAAAATGATTTTGCTGGTAAAGGTTATTTGGAGGAATTATGATGTTGAAGAAGCGAAAACGGAGCCCGAGGATGCTATATAACTCCAATACTCACATTTGTTCAATTCAGGTAAATTTCGAGGATGAATTTATTTTCTAGGAAGAGAGAATTGCAACACCCTGAATTTTGGGTTAATAATTCTGAGTTGACCCGCGTGGGCTATGGACGAACCAAGTAAACCGTTAGGGGGCATTGGTCCAAGTTAGGACTTGATTGGGCTAGAATTGAATCTATGTAATTTTGAAAAGGGCATTTTTGACCAATCGAGAGAAAACCTATATTAAAACAGAGACAGCCCTTATCAACGCCTATTTCTAAAACTAATAGCATGATGCTTTTAAATATAAAGCTTCATATAAAACATATTCGAGTCTAAAAGGAGGATCAAATAATTTGTACGAAAGAGCTGATGGAGATAATGGGTTTGTTATGGATCAGTGTAACCATTGGCCATAGAGGATATGGCCCCCATTGGACTGCTGGTTGGACCTTAGAGTATAATGGGCAGTGCATAACATTTTTATTTAGTGAGTGACCATCTTTTAAAAAATCATTAAAAAAATCTGAATTAAGTAACAATCGTTAAACAAATTTGGGTTCATTTTTAACAATGGCTAAAAATATCTAAATTAATTCACAATCGCTCATCCATCCATCTTGCAATTCCCTCTAGGCATAAAAGCAAGTTCAAATTCATTTCTCTGAACCATTTTAAGAACAAGTGCATAACATTAACTAATAACTGTAGTTTCTACTAAATCAATATGTAGAAGAATTGCCTAACTCTGGTTAAAAGTGAAGAAAAAAATAAGCATAAACAAATGATTTTCATAATCTCTTTAAAAGGTGCTTAAGAAAGTCAAAATTTAAATCCAACCAAAAAATAATCTCAAACTAATTTCTCATAACAAAAATCAATTATGACCCTCAATCTCGATAACATTCGACTAAATGTATTAACTTTGACTAGGTATGATCATTTTACTCGAATCTGACGAGGTTTAACTTAATCCTAAAGGATTATTTTTTAAATTTGAATTTGGATCGTATTTTTTGAAGGATGAGATTGGATTGAGTCAAAATTTTCATTTGCAAATTTATTTTCTACTTTCCCAAGAACCAAATGGAAAGTTTGTTTTCCCTCCAAATGAAAATACCATTAAAGCACAAAGAATATACATGGACGAGCTTGAATGACATTCATATGTGAGTCCCAAATTTTGGAGCACATGTCACACGTGTAAATGGACGGGCTGTTAATGGCTATGTAGCTAATCCCACAATTCACGTTGGATCTCTCGTTCTATTCCTATTTGTTCTTTTTGACAAAAAGAGAGAGAGAGAGAGAATCCTTGGTTGGGGTTTCTCCTTGGCATGTCTCTCCTCCATCGATGGGTTGTGGTGTTTCAAGATTCGACAACGCAGGAAGAGAGGACAAGAAAAGGCATTATATGAGAATTGTTCATAGAAAGAACGATCCTGTTGTAGTAATATCAAAGCCATTGTCCGGAGATGACGAAGGAGAATACCATTCAAGGGGTAAGGTGAAGTCCGATGGGAAAGAAAGAGATTGTCACAAGGAAGAGTGCGTGGAGGACGATGGATCATATATACCTCACTCGCCAAGTTTCAGAGTATATTGCACTGCATCTTTTGATGACAACACCCAAGGTAACCCATCATTTTGAATCTTGTAATTTCTATTATTATTTTGGTTGTACAAGATATTGATCTCATTTTTGTTCTACAGGTGATAGTAAAACAGATAAAATAACAAACAAACAAGGGGATCATCAAAGTAACAAGGTTTGATCTTTGTCTTGTAAATCTTTGGTAAAGTACACAGATGGTTCCGATTACAGTATACTGTTTTGTTGAGTCATTTGACTATTAAAAGTTATAAAATAGTCCCCGACCATAGAGAGTTATTTTGTTGAGTCTCTCGATTATTAAAAGTTATAAAATGGTCATCCGACTATTAATTATGTTCTAAAATTTTTCTCTTTCATTTAAAAAATGACGACAATCTGAGCTGGGCGTAAATCTACTAACTGAAATATGATAAAATCTGACGGGAAATGACGAGTTTGGAACATAATAAATAGTCGGATGACCGTTTTATAATTTTTAATAGTCGAGAGACTCAACAAAACAACTCCCTACGATCGGTGAATCATTTCATAACTTTTGATAATTGAGAGATTCAACAAAGTAAACCTATGGACGTCAATTCCCATCGATTGGCGAAGTATTGTCATTTTTCATGTCAGTGTGACTTTTACAATGGACAATATTGTTTCCATTGAATACTGCACAAATGTTTGCAACAAATTATTTGTGAAAAAAATCTTAGGTGACAAATTCTTGAAAAGTTAGTATCCATATATTTGCCACAATTGATCACGATTGCATCTCATTATACCGAATAAAGTTAACAAATTTTATTTTATTTGTTTAAGCAGGGATCAAGTACTCGATTGGGGAGCATGACTAAGACAAGAAAAGGACCTAAGACTATTTTAAGGGCTTAATTTGCAATTGTTCATCGGTGATACTATAAGAAATATGTTGAAGGTTCTTGTCAAGATATGTATAGCTTCATTTGCTTATCCCCTCATTTCTTTTCATGAACAGAGATGTTTTCAGGCTTTGAAGGAACAACACAATATTCCCTATTCATTTTGTTGTTGTATCAGAAAAAGAAAAAAAAAATAGCACCATTCAACTGGCATGTGATCTCAATGTTCTTCTTAATGATCAGATTGCAAATTATATTAATTTCTTCATTATTTACCTCCTTTTAAAATGAATGTGCATCTCCTATGTGCTCTTTCTACTCCCAACTCAGGCTAGCTTCTTAGCTTCTGACCAGGAGGGAACTTTCTAATGTATACAAGGGATCGTACCTTGGTAATCGGCGTTTAACCTGCCAAGGCATGAAATGTTCTTCCAGACTATCTCACCAAGTAACCCTAATAATCGATATATAGTCTAGTCTCCAACGACAAGAATTAATCCCTTAATGGCTCTTGAGACAAATCCCAAGGCAGGTACGAACAAAACTTCCTCTTAACATATTAGGTAGTGTTGAAGCATCTCTAATAGACGAAAGCACTAAGGTTCTTCCTCTGCTTAAACACCGAAATCTTCCGAGAATTCTTCTTCCATAACGTTGAGATGCATTCACTATGTAGTCATAGTGTCGGGATGTCTCCTCTCTAATCAAGAGCATTGAGTTGCATCACTACACTCTAACTGAAAGGACTTCTTCACTATCTCTTCATTATCTGATTAAAAGAGTTGAGATGCCGCCGTTACGGATAAGTAACATCAACATGCCTTCACAGTTTTTGCAAAATGATTGAGATACCTCCGCAAATCTTGTAGTCTTTCTACAATAGCGTAGGGTTTCCTCCACCCAATGATTCGAGTTGCCTCCCCTTTAGTAATAGGAGTTCTTCCATTATGTTTTAATGGGTGTCAAAATTCTAAATCATCAAAAAGTTAGAGAAATGATGGATGAGTAGGAAAAAAAATCAATGTCTAAAGTTTAATGATTAAATTAAAATGTTTTAAATTTAAGTGAATAAAGCAGGAGTGAAAGTAAAGTTTAGTGAGAAAATTTTTATTTTACCCCTTTTATTAAAAAGGAAAACTATTAGTAATCCAAAAGGATAGAACTCCTAAGAACGGGAAGCAGGGCAGAGAAGATAGCTGAGGTTTCTTCCATGGAGATGACAACTATTCTTAACTCTTCCCTCACTAATCCTCCATTAAGCGCTCATCTCTTTCATTCAAAATTCCCCCAATCTTTCTCCAGTCAAACCCACCACCGCACTTCTCTTCCCTCCACATGTCTAACCCTTTCTCGTCCTCTTCCTCGAAAATCCTTCCCCACAAACTGCTCCGTCTCTGATGACAAAGCTTCCAGTGAGTTCATTCCTCCCTATTAAAAGAAAGCATTTCAGCAACCCTTTCAATGAATTGTCTTGGTTTTGAATTCTAAGCTTATGGAACTATGACTTGAATTGTTTTTGCTATTAGTTGAGATTGTATATGATTAGTTGAGTTCCTGGGGATGCATTTGGATTTATTCGGATACTTTTTCCACGAATTTTAGTTTGTCCTTACTCATTCGTTACCGTATGAGATTGTATATGAATAGCTTAGATTGGTTAATGAGAAGGAATTAGATATCCATACTTTGTTTACTGGTTTTCTTTTTTTGGCCCTTACTCATTTTTTTTGTTTTGTTTCAGCAGCTAATGTATTTACTGCAGATCCTTCCATCGCTTTGAAGGTCAGATTTTATATATTTATGTAACTGCGTTTAATTTGTTATGTAGAAAGACGGGAGAAGTAATTTAATAAAGTTGCAATTCTTCTTTCAATTCATCTTTTATTAATGAAATTGAGTTGAAACTTGGATAAAATACAACTTTTTTTTCAACAAAAGAACTATGGAAGACCCCAAATCATAGAACAATTTAAAGCTTGGAATTTTCTTTTAAATTTTCTTTGGTGATTTTCTTGTGGTTTGAAGTGCTCACTTTAACTGTTCAGTCTAATTCAGAGTAAAGCTGCGGATATATCTGCTGATCTGAGAGGAACTTCTCTTTTTCTTGTGGGTAAGCAAGCATTTTGCCGGTGCAGATAGTGAATTTTAACTCCTTAATCCCGTAGCATCTGATTCTAGATTCTAATACATGTTTGGTGATTATTTATTTGACATGAAAGGGATGAACAACTCCATTAAATCCAGTTTGGGGATACTGCTAGCAGACTTATTACGATACTATTACTTCGATAGGTATTATATTTTTTTTCTATAAAAAAATAGTTATTATATTTTCCTGTCACTTACTTCGATACGTATTATATTTTCCTGTCACTAAATATTGGGAATGGCTTTTATGTTCAAGATATGTTGGCTAAACTTGTTTTTGTTTTCTTATATATATAGTGATGCTTTGGTTTCGGAAGCTGCTGGGGGTGAATCTGCCGCCATATCCTTGAAGGAGAGTGATGAGAAGGGATTCAGGGAGTCTGAGGTGCTTTGTTTTTGTCTTTTCTTACTTATTTGACATTACAATATTTTGATTAACAATGCAAACTTATTGGTCAAGCAGAATGGTAGATAAGTTTTTAATGTACTGAAGTCTTGTGTTACTGAAATTCTCTTGAGCAATGAGTAATACATAAATTATCAGGCTTATCTTCATTCTAAATATTTTAGCAGACAGAAGTATTGAAGCAGTTATCATCAATGGGTAGATTAGTGGTGTGCGTTGGGGATGGCGCAGTTCAAAGTTCAACAAATTTGTATGATGATCTTTGCATGGTTGAATCAGTTGTTTCTTGGTTTGTATTTGTTCCCCCCCCCCCCCCATTAACCGAATTTATCCTGCTCATAAATAGGGCACTCTTAAGGCATGGCATCTCGATATGGATTGATGTGCCCTTGGATATAGTAGCCAATGGAGTAATCGGAAACAAGAGTCTCCTTTTGTCATCAGAAATAACTAATTCTGGTTCTTATTCTGAGGTATTGCTGTTGATTTCATTCTTTTATTATATGACCTTCCCTTTCTTTCTTGCAAACGTTCCCGAAAGGGTTTGCTTTGCATCTTGCTGATTTCTGACAATTCTTGATATATGTAGGTTTTGTCACATCTAACGGCTCTTCATGAGGACATGAGAAGAGGATATGCCACTGCTGATGCAACCGTTTCATTACAAAGTATATCCCTGCGACCTATGTTTCTTGTCATGAGAATAAACCATCTTTTGTTGGTTTTAACTTTTAACTGCTTCTTAAGCAGAAGTAGCATATCAGCTAGGTTACGAGGACATAGATGCAGTTTCCACGGAAGACCTAACTATGGAGGTGGAGAAGCATACTTGGAAATATTGTATTCCCTTTCTTTTGGAATCAAATAGGAGTTTTCTAAAGGTGCCAATAAAGGAGTTCTCTGTGATGTTTTCAGGTTCTCAAGGAGATAGAGAGACTTACAAGAGTTAAAAAGATGATGGAGGAAGCAGCTAGACCATTTTAGCAGACAGGGAACGGGGTCTGTATGGAATGTAGCTCATACTGATATTGTTCTTGTGTTCATCTTTGGTTTGGGTACTCTTTCAAATTCACTTCATATATTGTTTAAAGTAGTTTAAAAGATGCTAAGGTGACGTGTTCACTTAACTGCATTTATCAACATGAGAAATGCATCTGAATTCTGAACATTGCAGCAAGATTGGGTAAATCCATGGTCTGCATTAGTGAGTAACCTCTTGCCTCATGTTGATCTTTAGAACAATGATTGTCAAAGAGGTTTTAAAATGTCAAAATATTAAAAAACATAATGCCTTTTGCAAGGCGCCTCTTATGGCTTGATATTGATGGGCTTGCATTAGCATTAATACCAAATAAGGGGTACCTACCAAGTACCATAAATTTCCACAATTTTTATGTCATGCTTCATTTTTAAGGGTTCTTCTCTCTTTTACCTTTCATTTCTAGTGAGATGATAAATTAATAACAAAGTTATGATGCTATAGGCATGCACCATGTGAAAATGCATAGACTAAGCGCCCAACAAGTTGCAGCTTCCACTATAAGATCAATAATGATCACTCTACGTAAGATTCAAGCCTTAATTGGTATTTAATAAAGGCAACATATGTTGTACGGGTATGACAATCGAATACTGTTTTAAATACTATATGACCTTAAATTGGGTATGTAAAGGAGACGCCCCGTATTGAAGGGTTACATTTAAAATTAGTTGGGCATATTGAAGAGATTTTCAAGGACATATCTGGGATGGCGATTGATCTTCACGCACCTGGTTATGACTTTTTTTTTATATCTTTTTAGGATTTTAAAATTTATTTATATTTACTGTAGTTTTACCGTACTTGTATTTTGTAATTTTAAACATTATTGATTTACGTTTCTGTATCCATATCAATGCAGCATAGAATGTAACCACAGAAAGATCAAATGTTTGTCGTTTTGTTGAGAAGTGAGATAAGAAGTCCAACTCCAAACCAAACCCATTTCCTTAATTTGGTGATGGAAGAGTCGTCGCTTTGCCAAACCCATAATTATTTAGTGTCAATCAATCTCAGCCTCCAAGAGAATCCCTCTGTTTGATGATTGGCTCCAATCGTATATACGTGTCCCTCATATGCTGAGGCTGAGCTGTTCACACTAACAACAGACTCCCTGACATGTATATAACAAGATTAGGACGGAGCTGAGCCTTGCTGTCCTTTATTTTCCCATTCTGCCCATTTTTCTTTTCTTTTATAATAATAAATATAAAAAAATAGAAATGGCACAGTGAGGTCAGGTACTATACATGTACTGTCTCTCTGTTTATTTGTTGTTATAGATTGGAAAAGGTGAGCAGGAGAGACTACCCCCATTTTGTATTCTAAATCATCAATGTAACCCTTACAACTAGACATGGAAGATGAGGCCATCTGCCCCTTGGCATTTCCATTGCCATTACATTTCACGATAATTCATAAATATTTTTAAGGTTAAATATATATTGGACGAATCTATTACAACTTCTCTCAATTTTTAGATATAATAATATTTAAGTCTTTTTTAATTTAAATATTAATCAAATAAAATCTTTGTCTTTCTCAAATTTTAGATTTAAATACTTAATAGAGTCTTGTTCTTTTGATACAAATAATTTAGTCTCTCTCAATGTTTGATTTTAGCTCTGTCCCTGAATATATTAATCATACAAAATTTTTTATATGTGGTTGGACACGGATAGAATTTTGTGATGAATACAATCAATAAAATAATAAACGAATAAAAAAGTAATTTCAAATTTAAAAATGAAAAAATTAACTATATATCCGCTCTAATGATGCATGAAAAACACATTTAGTAGAAATTAACATTAGAAATTAAACAAATAGCCTCAACTCCATAATCTATCTTTCATAAAAAAAACTCATCATATATATATGTGTGTGTTTAACAGTTAACTATTAGTTTTCTCCATTCCGACAATAGTCTGAGATATCATGTCATCATCTATATGTACATGCACTAACCAATTTTTTTTAAGAAATAGTAATTTCATACATAACATAAAGATATAAGCTAATATGACTAAAAATGGATGGTTTTTGAACTAATGCTTAAATGTGAGACAAGAAACACACTAAACTGTGTGGTAGATGGGACATAGTTAGAATGTATGTATCTATGTGGATACCCTAATATGACCTCACTTCATTAACTAAAGGAGTCAGTCTCCAACACCCTTTTTCAAAAATTTTCCAATGCCACTGAAATGAGTTACAATCTTGGGATCGATCAATCAATCAATGAATATAAAAATGATGGTAAAAGGTTATATCCATCAATAAGCATCACATCTATTGAGTCTCTCATGACCCATCAGTACTTAAAACAGGACTATATAGTTAATTTATAATGTTTATGGGATACTAATTTTTTTAATTAATTTAAACTAAATGTGTTTTTCATGCATCATTGGAGCGATAAATGAGATAACACAGATAACATGAGTTATTCAAATCTAATTCGATTAAGGTTTAATCAACTCTCAAATCAAATAAATTCGATTCGAGTTTTTAATGAGTTGAAGTGAACAATTAGATATCGAACTCGATAATTTTAATGACTTAAGTTTTTAATGAGTTGAAGTGGACAAATTTACCCCTCAGGTTTTCTTTATGCATCATCAAGATTATAAGAGATAAAATATACAGCCATGCATAAAGAAAACCTGAGGGGTAAATTTGTCCACTTAAGTCATTACCAATCATCATAAGCCTGCAAGGCTTTATAGATGAATACGAACAAAAATATTAAGCCCCGTATAAAACGTAACTCATGTATCCTATAACCTCCATTTCCACTCTCTTTCTGTTTCATCTCTCTCCAAAAGCTTCAATGGCAGACCCCTCAATGTACAACTTCTTCAACAACCAGCCTTGTTCATCTCCAAAACACATCAAGAAACAGTCCCAAAGAGCTTCACCATCTGCTACTCCCAGGCTTTTCCAATGCCTCTACTGTCCCAGGAAATTCTACACTTCCCAAGCTCTTGGCGGCCACCAAAACGCTCACAAGCGTAAACGAGCCGCTTCCCGGAGGAAGTTCCCCGTCGGTGATCGAGATAACCAGTCCCAGCAATGCAACTTCCATCTACAGGTTAACAACCCTTACTCCTCCACCTTCCCTACTGAACCACCGCCGATGGGCTACCCTGGTGGTGCTCAACGGTGGCTCCAGCCCTTCCAACCCCACCTTCCTCTTGCCGGCTTCGTTCCTCATCAGGGGTTCAGTGGTGTTTCTTCCAATGAGACTTTGTCTCCAACCACCGATGATGCTTATGACTCCGCCGCAGTAGATGTTGACCTCACTCTCCGTTTATAAAAAGCTACTTTCCTGCCTTTTTCTTATCTCTTTATTTGGTTGATATTTATCTTTTAACATGTGAAAAAATGTCAACTGTTGATGGAAACAAGAAAGAAGGAAATAGGGTTTTGAGGATATGGTTGTTATTTGGTTTAGGGTAAGAAGGGTTTTAACTTTTAAGAGTTCTAGCTCTGGGGAGATCTGAGTTGATGAGTTTGATGTTATGTTTATGATTTGGCACTATAATCTAAATGGATGTTTAAATCTTGTTTTGTTGAGTTAAACTTTGTAATGTTGATGTGTTTTAATCCTCTTTTAACCTTTATTTCCATATGCCGGTACTTGCAATAGTGCAACAATATTTGTTATTGTCACGATTGCGATAAACGAAACATAATAAAAAAATGTAACTACAACTGTAATTTAAATTAATGTAGAGAGTAGTTCAAATTCAAGAGTTATTTCCACAGATTCGACTCTTTATCATGAGTTTGTAAATTTAGTGTTTGCAAAATGCCAGCAGGCTCTTACAATCATCTTATTAGTCTCTTAACTTTACATACGACGATCCTGCTATTTGTTCATGGATGGCACGTGTATGTATGTGTCACTCGTGGATGATGAATTTGATCAATGGTAGGTCATCATCATAAATGGAATGTGTGTACTAAGTATTAGTTTTGATAGATTGAGAGCTAGATGTCCGTAGTTAGTGGCATCAGTGATTGTAAATTAAACTGTAAGAAAACTGTTGGACATAAACCTTCAAACAAACATGTGGAAAAATCCAGGTTACATCACTTCGGAAAAGCACTCATTAATTATTATTTCAACTTTAAAGTTTCTCTTACTTTTTATTTATTTATTTTATTATAAATCAGTTTCCACGTTCACACACAAATATAGGGTTTATTAATAAAATTTATAGCACCCGCTGGTCTCTCTCATCATATAAAATCCACCCACCGTCCTTAAGATTCATGCATATATCATATATATACGTACGTATAGGACTACTCGCGGATTCACAAGTTATACATTATAATTGTAATTGTAATCTTAAAATAGAATAGATGAAACTATAATTTAAGCTACAACTAAGACAAATATGAAAATCTATCGGAGACGAGCTTAATTTGTCTGACATTGCCAAATGTAAGTGTTGTTCAAAGTGTACAAATACTTACTCTAAAATTCGATTTATTTAGGTAAGCAATGACGAATCATAAATATTTTTGTAGAGCGGACACACATATACTTACAGCACGAAATTTTTGAATGAGGTGACCACAAATAAAATTTCAATTTATTTGATTATTGACAAAGATCCATGATCGTTACTTATGGTCACTACGGCTTATATTTTATGCGTTGGTCGTAAATAATTTTATATATTATTGATGAATTGAACAATAATATATCATAAAAGTAATTTAAAAAAATTAAATGAATTTTTCGTTGTGTATCATCTATCATGATATATATATATTAATTAACCAAATATATCCATAAAAAATTGACTAACGTCACCTACATCATATATTAAAGAGAAAAAATATTAATTTTACATAGGTTGCAATCTGTGTTGTTGGCCCAACCCAAGTTCCCAACGTATCATTTTATTTGGCTTCACTATTATACCTCAGTATATCTATTATTGTGCCGTGAGGTAAATAAATACCGGTTCAAAATAAAACTAAATCGATAATATCTTAGTAATAATGAGAAGTAAATAATAATAAAAATATACAACATTCAACACTTATTATTTTTTTTGCTCAGCAATCAAAAGATTTTATTAAAATTCATAGGATATCCCCATCTTGAGCCTCATTAAAAACCCCCTAATCCTAAATGGAGGAAAAGAGTGTTCAAAATTGAGAAAAACACCAAAGCTGAAGGAGTGAATTATACGAAATGTAGATGAGGCACAACTTAAACCTAAATTACCCCACCTAACCAAAGCAAAATCAGTCTCCACCACCATTTCGATCAAGTTTACTTTCAAACTAGGTACACAATAAAACTGCTAGGATAACTCCCTTTCTATATATCACAAACTTGCCTTGAACAAAACTTTTCTCTTCGAGCCCATCTTTGCCAGGTAATCTGCCATATTATTAGTAATCCTAGGCGAGAATGCAAACTTTATCTCAGATATCTTCATTGCATTTACATCAATTCCCTGAAAAATTACCCCCACCTCCATGGTCGAGCTAAGGCATTTTGTATCCAGTTCAGTACTACCTTAGAATCAGATTCAACAATCAAACCAGTCTTCCCACACCAACAAGATTCAACAAACACATCTAATGCAATTTTGATAGCCACAAGCTCCGCAAAATCTGGATTGATCTCTGTTACTGGCCCAAAAAACATTGCTACTACATAACCTTCTGCAGTCCTCAAGACTCCCCCACACCCTGCTAACTTGTTCGTTGCTGAGCCATCCACATTAAACTTCATCTGACTCGACACTGGCGGCTTCCAGACAGACTTGGGACGTTGTTGTACACATAGACCGGCTGACTCCCCTGGCCAATCCCACCAACGTTTCTCATCTAACACACTAAAAACCTTCAACGCCTTACACCAAGCATAAGCTCTCATCTTCACATATACAAGCAGATCTTTGAGTTTCGTGCTTTTACTTTTAAAAACTAAATCATTCCTAGCCAACCATAGACTCCATAACGCTGCTGCAAAGCTTACAAACCAAGCCAATGCTATAGATTCTGTCCACCTAAATTGAAAACAAAACTCAAAAATTTCATCTATTGTCTGCAAATTAAAGCCTGGAATATGCCACCACCTGCAGAAAGCATTCCAAAAACAAGCCATAAAAATACAAGACACAAACAGATGATTCACATCCTCTTCAACATCTCCACACCATGGGCACAATCGTTGAACATCAGACAACTTAATCCCTCTGTTAAAGAGAAATACCTTAGTTGGAACTCTGTTCAGTTTAAGCATCCATAAAAAATATTTCACCTTCGGAGGAACTTTTAGGCTCCATATTTTATCAAAGTTAAACGAACATACATCTTCAAAATACTTGTCACTGAGGAGCAAATCTGTCAATTTCTTAACCTTAAATAAGCCATCAGTCGCATGCACCCATACAATCCGATCAGCCACAATCGAATTAAAACTCACATCGTCCACTTCACGTTTTATAGGTGATTAAGATTACGAGAGTTCAACTTGTCTATGCTGCAAGGACAACAATACCATGGCGGATCATCTTGCTAAAGCCGGAATATGTGAACTGGTTTTATTTAAGACATGGTAGTAATGGTAAACTTTATGTTTGAAGTTTAGTTTGTGTTAAGATAGAGAATAATGTTTGCGGTTTGAATGAAAGACGTGTATTTTATCTTTTGGATGCGATGGACTTTTGTATCCAGTCACATAATCTGATCTTAGGCGCTTATGATATTAAATAAAATCAATTTGTCGAGAAAAAAAAGTATAAGAAAAAATATCAAAAGTTATATGGAACGTGTCAATAAATAGAGAAAAAAACGTGACACAGAAGTAAGAAAAAGTGTATTACAAAGACATGGATTATTATTTAAAATTTAAAAAATTCAAGAAACCAAAGGACATAGTATGAAAAACAAGAAAATTAATAATCATTGGCGGCCGACAACCAAATTGAAAATGGTGCCTTCGCCGATAAAAAAAATCAAAGGAAAAAAAAGACAACATAAAAATATTAAAATAAAACTTCATAAAATTAATTTAATTCTCAAAATGTAACTTAATATTTTGTCTAAACGTAACAAAATTCTTAGTTAGCCTAACGGTTATACACTATACAATCCGCATTATTAGGATTTTGTTAATTTTTTAAGTGTCATCATTTTATTAGAAGTATTAATTTATTAAGAGAAAAATTATATGTGAACGTGACACATCAATTATGGCTAATCATTTAATGATACGATAACTGATATAGAAGTTTTTTAACGACAATAACTTTAATAAAAGATTTTAAATTTTAGTGACCAAAGTGAAAACACCTTAAACATTTAGTGATCACCAGTGTAGTTTAACCTAATATATATCATGCTGAAAGGAATTCGCATGTCCGTGGTTCTATATAACATGTTATATCAATCCATAATGTCAAATTAAACATTGTTGATGGTAGGAATGGTTTTAGTAGAATTTTTTTTGATCGGAATCAGGATATGAAGAAGTAAACAACTGATCATAAATGGTGATTATACCCATGATTAAGGGATCAAAAACCCTTGACCACGTAATTGTGATTAAAGAAAGAGGGGAACTACCATCACATCATTCCTTGTGATTTTCTTTACTAGAATATTGGAGATTAGTAAAAATATTTTTATTCAGTTTTCTCTCGACTCTTTGTGATGATGTTGCTCATGTCTCAAAGATCTATAGGTGTGAGGAAGAGCTGCAAACGCAATTGTTTGAACTTAGGACCTCTAATTAAAATAACACTTTTTTTAATCATTGATACCACTTGATAAGTTCAATCACTCTTTGAGAATAACATGCAAAACATAGTAATAGTGAAGCTTTTTGGTCGAAGAATCGGTTACTACGCTTTTCAAATCCATATATGTAATCTTTCAAAGCCTACCAGCCGGTCCATCTTATGGACATCGAGAATGATTATTACTTCTTTAAGAAAAATTATGTTAAGGTATTTTTCTGACGATCCATGAACTCTATTTGCTCAATGTTGAAAATTTCTTCTTTTTTTTAGCCCTTGTCATTTTACCTAATGATGAAAATGAGTCATGCGACAATGTAATGGAAACTCTTGAAAGGAAATATAAGGAAACAATGTTGGCTGAAAAAGTTCAAAATGTGTTTATTCAGAAGGAGCAATTCAAGGGTCAAAAGGAGTAGTAGTTCCGGGTGGTAAGTCAAGCATTGTTAGTAACCGAAACAATAGTATGTTGGACCCTTACGACACTCGATTGTGTATGTGGTCAATTATCCAACACCCAAAATGCAAACCAAAGGGCTAACTGTTGAAGATAAACTTGACCACAACCTTAACAGCAATCACCTGCATGAGAATCGGCCATCTGATAAGCTTGTATGTGCGCAAAACCAGTTTGGAAATGATGGACCATTCGAGGTATGTTAACCCAATTTATAATATCCCCTTTGAAGATTTTAATGAAGAAAATGATGTCTCTGTTGTCCAAGAATATCTATAATAGAGGATTAAGGCTGGTGACTGCTGATAAGTGGTTTAAGATCATCATGAGATTTGTCTCACATGTCTTACTTATCAGTCAGTTGCCTAATTCAATGTTAATTGGATAGTTAATGTTAATCGGTTGTTATTTCATCCATTAATTAGTGAACAGTGTAAAAATGTAGTTATTGGTCGAAAGCGTCTTGGATCTAAGGTGCCAGAAGATCCCTAATTCTAAAAGCTTGTTAGTGCATAACAATACCTACAATAGTTAAAACCTACAATACCAAAAACTTATATGGTGTGAAATGTCACCATTGTGGAACAATATTTTCGAAGATATGTGGTAGCAAGAAGTATCTGTAATGGCAATTATTATACCAAAAGTCACAATAAAGAAGAGATGCTGAAAGGAGAAAAGAATAAATACTACATGTTTTTGCAAGTAGACAAGGGAATGCATGCATGAAGAAAGTCAATAAATAGAAGGGTAAAAAGTCTTTGCTTAGCATCAATTGCATTGATTCGTCAATAGAATCATGTGCCCCATGAAATAAAATGATGGGAAGAATAACCAAGGACGAACAAAGGATCTTATTCTAAAGGATGAACTTATAAAATTTTTTGAGAGCGAAATCAAATTGTCAATTGAAAATACAAATAAAATATTTAAATTATATACTAATTTAAAGTCTTTAGGAGGCAACTGCTCCATTCGTCTCTTTTGATCTATCCTGATGATAACAGATGGTAAAAGGCATGTATGAAAAGGATTTGGATTTTGTTTTAGCATCCTTCACTAGATTAAATTATTTTTAAAAAAAAAATTGACCACAAATAGAACCTCACGCTTGAAACAAATAAATTATTAAATATATATATATATATATATATATATATATATATTGAAAGATGGTATTTTGTATTTTAATGGATTACAAAGTACATCACCTCAAATACCTCATTAAAAAACCTCTCTAATTCTAAGTGGAGGAAAAAGAGTGTACCCTGAGGTGGTAAGGATCTACAAACACAAAAAACTTACACCACACAATTCATACCCCAACCTTACAACAATCCCCGGCAGTTCATAAAAAAGCCAAACCAGACAAACCATTAAAAGGAATAAAGAGGGAACAAACACAAACACCTCTAATTTAACATCTAACAGCAACCATATTCAAAAGAGCAAAAATTGTACCCGGACGATGTTTTATTTTTGGGCAGTCTTATGCTTTTGTTTTTATTTTCCTCGGTGTGATTTGGATGTGTCTTAACTACTTGTTGCATTTCTTTCGAGCCCGATCCCTAGTCTATTTAATTGATATATATATGATATGTGGGTCTTTAATTTGTATAGTTTATATAATTGTGTTGTACTTTTATCTTTTATATAAGTTTAACGAGGTTTTTAATGAGACACGTAACTTAAATTTTGGTATTGTATGTTTAAATCCTTAATAAAATTATATTTGTCGAGATAATAATAATAATAATAATACATAGTTAATCGTATATATGAGTGTATAATCGGTTGGTTCGATTTAAAAAAAAAAAGCAAATTAATTGATAGTCGGACTATTATGTTGTCATATTCGAAGTAATCAAATTAACTTGGTCCGATTTGTATTGTCGATTATTTGTCTTAAAATGATAATTAGATCAATTTTATTTTATTTTAAATAGTCTAGGGTGATTACAATATTATAATTGTTCATAATCTTTCTCATTCATTGACAACGTACACACCTCTATTCGAACTTAGGATATTTTAAATAAAATAATATTCTCTTTAACCACTAAAACTACTCGATGAATTTATAAATTTTATAGGTCTTGAAATCATGATTTGATTTGTACGAATGACCTTGTATTTAATTAGGTAATCGCACGATATAGGTTGAAAATATTAGCCAAGAGTGACATGCATGGTTTGAGGTCATTAAATATTCACCTGATAATCGCTCAAGAGTGCTAACAACCCCTATGATTTAAAGCCTAGCAAATGAAACAAAGTTAATTAAGAAGAGCATTGGTTTGCTTATCGATCGACATATTATGCTACAACCACCAAAGCCTTATATCTTTTCAAGGGGCTAAGAGCCTAAGCCTATTGAACATGAATATTGTTGAGTTCTATCGACACGAAAAATTTAAAGTTGAGCTCGATTTAAAAGATTTAAAGTTAAACTTGACTCGATTCAAAAGCCCACAAATTTAAAATTGTCAAGCTCCAAAATTGAAGCTCGACTCAAGCTCCAAAAAACTAAAATTCGAAATATTTTCGAATTTAGCTCGGTTAAAGCTCAAAATCGAGTTTGAACCTGAACTTTAAGTATATGAAAATCTTATATGATATTAAAAAAACAACATATAAATAAGAATAACAATAATAATAATAATAATAATTTAATTTAAAAAATTAAAAATTATTATTATTATTTTAATTGCTTGCGAGCTTTTCGAGTTAGTTATTAAATAACTTATTTTGACTCGTTAAAATTTTGAATCAAATTCAAACTCCAATCAAATACAGTTGAATTAATGTTGATCAAATTTTAATTAAATCAAACTTGAATAATTTATAATCTGTTTCATCATATTAATAACTCTACTCACCAGGTAAAGAAGCTTCAAGACCTTGCCACCTCCCGAAACATGAGGTCCCTACATTTGAAGTGAATGTATTCCATCATGGGCAGCAAGTACATGGATATGGATGAGGCCAATTGATTGATGGGTGGGGATCAACCCTATGCGATTGATGGATGGGGAATCTATTGACATTCATTCATTTTGCTATAAATAGGGAGTTGGAAACAGTGCATTTGAATAGTACAGAGGAAGGAAGGTCTAAGATGAAGAAAAAAGTTAGGGTTTGGTAGCCAAGGATGACTTGCCTGCTTCTTTCCAAGAGGTTTTCTTGTTGGGTCTCAGGCAGTCACCTTGGCTGACTTCACCCGCTCTATTCTTTCATGCTAGCCCTTCTCTTCTTGATGATGGCCCCTTCCTTAAGGATAAGCATGCCCCTTCCCTTCTTCTTTTTTTTATTTTTAATTAATAATTTATTTTTTTCCTAAAATTTTATAATTTCTTCCTTATAATATGAGATCATGTGTCCGTCACTGACTATGTCCTCATGTATGGAATACAAACTCTGCACCAAATCTATTAAACCTATATTTCAATGAAGTAGATTTTCAATTACTCTTTAATTTGGACATGTTGCATACTTTCAATGGATGCTTAAATGTTATCCTCTCTCTTCCTTTTTTCTTCCTTGCAGTGTATAGATATATATATCATGCATTCAATTTCTGTACTTTATCTCCAAAATTTATATATTCTGTCGATTTGATCATAATTTGAAATAGTTTGATAAATTAATAAATTTAATCGTATGATAAGACAAGACATTAGATGAAGATTAATAAAACATAAAGCGCATTTCAAGGGATTGAGTTTGGGATAGTTAGGGGAAAGAGCATTTAATCACTAAACACAAGCTTAATTTTTAGTATTATGTTCACATATATATTATTTAGAATATAAACTCTCACTAAAATTTATTAATTATTATTATTATAGTATTTTAATGGGAGATAACTTTTTAAATAATTGTGAGGGACAATTAAATCATTAGATTTTTTTAATTTAAAGATTAAAACTTAAAAAATTTAATATGATATACGATTTTAAACAGTTTGTATTTTAATTTTAATTTTTATTCTATTTTCAATATTTTATCAAATTGTATTTTAATTTAATATGATATATGATTTTGTCTTATTCTATTTTCAACATTTTATCAAATTGTATTTTTATTTAGCGTTCAAAATTGTATTTTAATTTAGTGTGATGTATGATTTTGTCTAATTATATTTTCAACATTTTATCAAATTGTCTTATTCTGTTTGAATTCCTTAATCTAACCTGAAAACGCTTCAACTTCTTTGTTCATGCTTTGATTTATAGGTTCAGAGAGATCGAATGCTTGTTTATTAGGCATAGTGGCGACCTTCTCAATGGCGCTAGGTTTGGTTTCAGACATTAGGTGTACATTTTATTTGCGAATAACTTCATTGAGGAGCTCAACATTAAAAGCAGTATCTTAATAGAAGTAATTCTACTAGTTATGTTGAACTGCTAAAGACAAATGATTTTCATCCTTACATGTGAATGTGGATAGGCAAGTCGTAGAAGATTGTTTGTAATTAAGATATCGAAATTTGAGCTTTTAGACTGTTGGATAGGAGGAGTCCATGGCTATGCCACAAAGACCTTCTTTAGCCTTGATGTTTCTCTGCATCCTGATATATCCTTCTTCACCCCATCCTGTGCCCCACGAGTTCTTGACGAGCCAATAATCGGTACCATCTTCAGAGGTACCGTATCCAACCGCCGTAACACCATGGTCTAGAGCAGTTCCGCAATCTCCCGTGAAAATTCCACTCGAGTAGAACTGAAAGGCGGAACCTCCGGCATCAATGGACACTGATACTGGTTGGTTTGCAACAGCCTTCTGTAATGCCTGTTCATTATTTGCAGGAACAACCTCGTAGCCGGTAATTGTAGCTGCATGGGAAGCCTCCTCTGATTTGTTGCAAGTTCCGTCATCGCCCTTGTAAGGGTAAGTGGCTTCGGACGCGATCCCGTGATTGCTGATTATGAACTTGAATGCATCTTCCATTTCCCCACCTTCACATCCCTGATCCACACCTTTGTCACAATCAACCAGTTCTTGCTCAGACAAGGAAATTAGTTCTCCTATAGTTAGTTTGTGAATTCCTTCAGTCGCAGCGATAGCCGAAAATGCCCAGCAGCTACCTGTGTGTGTTTGAAATGAGTTTTTTTTTCTTCATTACTTTGGCTTATCAAACTAAGATTAATGGTTATGCTCCAACAGTTACACATTACTTACCGCATTGTGCCTGGTCCTTGATGGGCGTAACGGCTCCTTTCTTCCTCCAGTCTATGCTAGATGGCAAACTTGTGACATTCTCGTACCTAAATGATGTCTGTTTTCTTGTTGGTAGTTCCTGGGGCCTTATGTATCCGTTTCGGTAAGACCTAAACTCATCGTTGGTCTGATCTGCAAACTCGTTGATGCTTAGCTTGTAAGACCGGTCACCCACTGCATTGAACGACTCTATAAACTGCACATTGCTTTCGAAAATCTTGAATCGTGTTTCCTTCTCTGCATCATTCTTATAGACTCGCCCGTATTCAGCCATCCATTGCTTGTGCCTCTCGGACAAGGACGGCTCAGGTAGGCTACGACACATGATGTGTGGGATGCAAACAGCAATTACAAGGAGGAATAACATGCTACAATCTCTTGGGAAAACCATTGGCAATAGTTTGTTGTTTGTTTCCGATGCATAGGAACTATTCTAAGCTTTTGCTTATATAGAGAACCAAAGCATCACATGGAAACAGAATGCTTGTCTGAATATTTCACATCAATGTGGTGGATTTGGCTTTGCCGGTACACTGAATAGGATTTGGAATTTTGGATTAATATGTAGTGTTCCGCGCAAGCTGCTTCTGCCTTTGCTGCTGTAACTCTTATGTTTTGTTGTATGGTTGCGGAACTTCTAATTTGGCCTTTACCAAACAAAACATTGGATTGGTCAGATGTTTAAAGTTAATGTTGACAGAAATTATATGGTATAGTAAATTCAGTGAAAAGTTGAGAAGCAAAGAACAAAATCAAAGGGTACAGTAGGGATGGACCGAGGGAGAGTGGACGGGGGCAGTCGTTTGGGGTGTGTAAAAAAATTCAATCCGATCCAAAAATTTAAATATCTAATATGTTTTTTGATTTTCGGATAATTCGGATTGCATATAAAAAAAAAATTCGGATACCTTTATCGGATACAGATTAGATAAATTTCAATTTTGGATTATCTGAAAATCCGGAAAAAAATTAGGTTTTTAGATTTTATATAACCTTTAACCCAATAAATGAGTAATTTACTAACCCATTAAAGCTTTAGCCCAACAAAATTTTGGATATTAATTATTTTCTCTATGTGAGTAACTAAATATACATATAAAATTTACACACCCATGACAGTCACACCCCTAAACATTTCAGATTCTTGTATATTTTAAATTTTTTTATTGATAATTTATTTTCGTCCTTATAATTTTATAAATTTACTTTCCCAATTTTTTTTTTTAAATTTCCCCTTCGGGAAATAGAATCATTATAAATTTACTTTCCCAATTTTTTTTTTTTAATTTCCCCTTCGGGAAATAGAATCATATATCCATATGTGAATATAATGGTGGGAGTTTTAAGTGAACTCTAATGGATAACGTTGAGCAATTCATTTGAGTAGCACGTGACCTTGGAGGAATAGATTGGTGACCATTGTGCAATGTTTATTCGAGGAAACCTTGGGTTGTGTAAATTATGACTATTATAATATATGAGATGAACTTAGATATAATAAATACGGTACGATAAAATAATTAGGATATAAAATAAAATGAAACATGAATATTTAAAATGCAACTATTAATACGAGAGATAAAGCTCTCACAAATCATAATCACTGTACAAGAGGACTCGGATATGACCTCTCTTATAGTTTATACCAAGATGCGAAATAAATCATACTCCATATCTTACGGGATTGTACTCCATTCCGTTATGGTGACTGGTTGCTTTGGAATTTAAAATCAACGTTTGTTTGCTGGACCTCTTGTTTGCATCGCTGGTATGGTATGGCATATCTGGAAGGCGCATAATCTTTTTATTTTCCAAGGCCAGTTTCCTATACTTGAATCAGTGCTGCAACTCAGTATCACATGGAGTAGATTTTATGTTGGTTGTGCGCCTGAATGGAGAGCTGACGGTATATCAGTCCCGACATAAGTACATAGTGGCGGCCACTAGAATCGGGGTGGATCGTTCAACACAGATGGTGTTGTCTCGCTCTCCACAGGATGTGATTCGATTGGAAACATTTTCATAGATCATATGGGTATTTGCCTCGACGCTTTTAACAAGACAAATTGCCCTTCAACGGCCCTTGATGATGAACTATAGGGAATCTATGAGGGAATCAAACTTACATGCACCTATGGCTTTATGAATTTGTTAATAGAAACTGATAGTGGAGACGATGTTCATCTCCTTTCTCCACCATCCCTGTCTAACCCTTTCCAAAGCATGGATTGTTAACTTCTTGAAGATACATCACAGACTCCTCTTACATTCGTGTAGGAGCGTAATGTAATAGTTCATTTCTATTGAAAACTAAAATAAATTTAGAACATTTATACAAAATATGGTACTTAAAATTCTGGGTAAACTACCCTTGAGGTTACTAAACTATTGACTTGAACCTATTTTAACTACTGAACTAAAAACTTTGTAAATTAGGTCATTAATTATCAAATTGGATTTAATCAAGTCAAGTATTGTTTACTGTTAACAAAATTATTGTTGTTATAGTTAAGTAAATTCGATAACATATTTGGTCTACATTACTCATACATTTTATCAATTTATTCATAATTTTAATTAAAAATAAATTCAATTATCTTGTATGATGGTAACATTTATCATCTCTGAGACAATAAAAAAAAAGAATGGGGTAAAGGGAATCAAACTTGGATCTTAAGAGTGGAGGAGACTAATCTAAACTATTGAATCAAGTTCTAGTATTTGGTTAATTAAGATGACAGCATTATATATGTATATATATATGTGAGACAATATTTGTTTACATCGTGTGCATTCTTTTTTAGTTTTACATATTTTTATGATTGTTAGATGGGTGAAAATAAACGAATGAGATTAACAATAAGAAATGTAAATATATTCATAAGAAAAAATAATGAGATAATCTCAATCGTCTATTTTCACTCATTTAATGATTTTAAAAATGTGTAATAATAAAAGTTTTATGATATGAGTAAGTGGATCCTAATATATATATATATATATCATTGAGTCAAGTATAATATTGGATTTATGATTGATAATATTTTATAAATAAGTTAACCTTTAATTAATGTAAGATTTTTTTAAAATAAAAATAGATTTAAAGAGAATTAAACTTATGGCTTAAATGTAAACGTAACACGTAATTACTGAATTTAATGAAATAATTATTTCATAACTGATAAGAATTATATTTAGTTTGAATGGTATTTGATGCAAAATTTTAAATTTTTAAATTAAGTTTAATATTTTTTAATTTTAATTTTTATAATTATATATATAGTTATAAAATTTAAAAATAGAAAAATATTAGATTTAGTTGAAAAATATAAAATATGTATTAAATAAAATTGAATTTAAATATAATATTTTATTTTAATTATAAAAAATATTTAACTTAGTTTTGTAGTTGTGTTGTTTCGAATATATGGGGAGACTTCAGGACTGTCAAGCAGTTTTGAGGAGTCGGGTGTTTTCTTCAGTTCCAATATGCATGACAATAATCGTGCAGATATGCGTATATGGAGGTTCCCTTGTCCAGTGAAATATTTGGGCCTTCCAACTATTACGGGACGTCATAAAAAGCAAGCTTTTGTGGATTAAAAGGATAAATCCCTTTCTCTGATCTATGTTCAAACCCCATACCAAAAGGATAAGGAAGTGTTCATCAAATCAGTCTTACAATCTATTTCAACATTTGCTGAGTTTCTTTTTGTTGCTAAGGAGCTTTTGTATAGAACTGGAGGTCATTTTAGCAAAATATTGATGGCAAAAGACGACGAGTAAGAGGTATTCACCGGTGCACTTGACGATCTTCATGAACATCGGATGAGTTGGTAGGTTTAAGTGCTCGAAAGCTTATTAAATTCAATGTGGATTTGATATGCAAGTAAGGTTGTCAATTGCTTACAAATCCGTCTTTAATGGGTTGCCTTTTTCGGATAGAATACTCTCTCAATTCTAAATTTTTGCATGTTCAACTAGGGTTCCTCATTTGTAGGGCGTAACATCTGGAGCGCAAGAAGTCTCTCGGAGAAAAACCTTCTTTAAAAAGTTAGAAGTCGATCTCTATATAAATGATTATTAACTACCTCAAAAAGTGTCATCCTCTAAAATAAATTCAACAAATAAAAAGGTTTACAAACTAAATACAGAGTACGAGTCTCATTGATACATATATCGACTATAATACTTAATTATTGTATCTTGAAGAATGGATGCTAGAATCTTACGATGCTGGTGCTCCACGAATAGATCTCGCCACTAAGACCGCAATAGTATACACGTAAGTATTTACATTTCGTCACTAAGACCAAAATAGATAGATATTTATTTATCATTGAGACCGTATCGTTATATATATATTTCAAATGTTATTATTGATACATCACATGTTTATGTAGATAATCAATACTAAGGCCACACAAGTAATCATGATTACGTCACTAACATTTTTACTCGCGCCATTAAGGCCAACAATGATACTTTTATATTACTAAGGCTCTATGCCTCACACTCTTTCTTTGAAATGTAGTCGATCTTGTTTGTCACTTAATTTGATGGGAATATTATCGTAGCACTACTCTTTTAAGATGTTTAGAAATTTGGTGAATCAATACTTTATATTAAGTCCACTTGAATCAACTACACTCAAGATCCATCTCAAACAAGATCCATAGTCAAAATCTCATTAGGGATATTATCGTAACACTACTCTTTTAAAGATATTTAGATATTTGATGAGTTAATACTTCATATTAAACTCACTTGAATCAACTACACTCAATACCCATCTTAAACAAGATTTATAGCCAAAATCTCATTGTTAGTGTTGATACTTCTATTTAAATACTGATACCTAATTCTTGATTATCGATATCTCTCGAGATTGATATCATTTTAAGATTCTAAATGAATTTTATAAAAGTGAATATTGATACTTTCATATCAATATTGATATCATCCAATGAATATCAATACTCGCATAGAGTAACGATATCAACTCCAACTTCAATATTTACGTAATATTTTTATATTGATACTTTACCCTTCGCATCTATACCGTTTTTCACGGGCCCCTTTCATTACCAACACAAAATATGGCAGCAGTAGCTACCGGGAATTGAAACCCAAAGCTGAAAGCGAATGAAGAGTTCAGGATTCGCTAAAACTACTGTGAAAAATCACTTCTCAACAAAGTCCAACCTGGCAACGTGTTTCAACAGATACTTGGACAAATCCAATGTCTCTTCCTGGAACTCAATCATCGCCGAGTTAGCTCGCGGTGGCGACTCTACCGAAGCTCTCAGAGCCTTCTATTCAATGCGCAAACTTTCTCTTAAACCTAACCGATCCACTTTCCCTTGCGCAATCAAGGCTTGCTCTGCTTTGCTCGATCTTTACTCCGGAAAACAAACCCATCAACAAGCTTTAATCTTCGGCTATGACACTGACCTCTTTGTATCATCAGCTCTCATCGACATGTACTCAAAATGTGGCCAACTGAGAGATGCCCGTATCCTGTTTGATCAAATTCCTCAACCAAATATAGTATCTTGGACTTCTATGATTGCAGGATATGTCCAGAACAATAATCCCCTCCAAGCTTTATTGCTTTTCAAGGAATTGTTGATTCAGGAAAGTGAAAATGATGGAGATGCTGCAAATGAACCCATTTTCATTGATTCAGTAGCTATTGTTTCCGTCCTTTCCGCTTGTTCTCTTGTTCCCATAAAAGGAGCAAGTGAAGGCGTTCATGGAATGGTTATAAAGAAGGGATTTGATGGAGATGTGGCTGTTGAAAACACATTGCTTGATGCATATGCTAAAAGGGGCGATGTGGCTGTATCTAGGAAAGTGTTTGATGCAATGGTCGAGAAGGATGCTGTTTCTTGGAACTCTATGATTTCTGTTTATGCACAAAATGGGATGTCTAACGAGGCTTTGGAGGTTTTCTATGAAATGGTAAGGGATGATAATGTCAGTTACAGTATCATTACCCTTTCTTCTGTGCTTTTAGCTTGTGCTCATTCAGGTGCTCTGCAAGCCGGAAAGTGTATACATGACCAGGTACTATTATAGCTTCTTTACTTTTGTTGTATTCATAGTTCTCTTGGTAGAATTTTTTGTAAGGTATGGAGTCTTTAATGAGGTCTATAATTTGTGCCTGCGTGTGTTTCTGCATAGGTTATAAAGATGGATTTGGAGAGTAATGTGATTGTCGGAACTTGCATCATAGACATGTATTGCAAATGCGGAAGAGTTGAAATGGCAAGGAAGGCATTTAATTGCATGAAAGAGAAGAATGTCAGGTCATGGACTGCCTTGATCACTGGTTACGGAATGCATGGTCGTGCCAAAGAAGCTTTAGATGTCTTTTATGAGATGATAAGAAATGAGGTTAGACCAAATTACATAACTTTTGTGTCAGTTCTTGCCGCTTGTAGCCATGCTGGTCTGGTGCAAGAGGGCTGGAATTGTTTTAATGCAATGAAGGAGGAATTCAAAGTAGAACCTGGGTTGGAACACTATAGTTGCATGGTTGATCTTCTGGGGCGAGCCGGATATCTCAACCATGCTTACAACTTGATCAAGGAGATGAAGGTAACACCTGATTTTGTAATCTGGGGTTCACTTCTTGCGGCTTGTAGGATGCACAAGAATGTGGAGCTTGCCGAGATTTCTGCCAATAAGTTGTTTGAATTAGACTCAAATAATTGCGGGTACTATGTCTTACTTTCTAACATATATGCCGATGCTGGAAGATGGGAAGATGTAGAGAGAATGAGACTTCTTATAAAGGATCGCGGACTAGTTAAATCACCTGGATTCAGCTTGGTTGAACTGAAAGGCAAGGTCCATGTTTTCTTGGTTGGGGATAAAGAGCATCCTCAACATGAGAAAATATACAAGCATCTGGAAGAGCTAAATGTGAAGCTGCAAGGAGTTGGATACATACCCAAATTGACATCAGCTCTTTATGATGTGGATGAGGAAGAGAAAGGGTTGACGTTGCGGGTTCATAGTGAGAAGTTGGCAGTTGTGTTTGCAATAATGCATACGGCTCCTGGTGCAACAATCCATGTTATTAAGAATCTTAGAATTTGTGGGGATTGTCATACCTTCATTAGTTTGATCTCAAAGATTGTTGATCGGGAAATCGTTATAAGAGATTCAAAGCGGTTTCACCATTTTAAGGATGGGTCATGTTCTTGCGGAGATTATTGGTGACATGTATGATTTGTTGATATCAAGAGAAGTTTCAAGGTTAGAATAAGATGTAAACTGTGAGGTTCAGGTACCTTTTGTCACGGATTGACGAGGAATTCGAGAAAGAATGCCGACTGTTGAAAAGATTAAATGGCCGATGGATTGGTCATATGGAACCGAAAGAAGAGTAGGTATTTATTTTTTGGTAAACTATCTTGGAGACCACTAAACTATAGGATCTATTCTATTTTGACCATTTGACAAGCTTCCGTCAATTGGGTTACCAAATTTTTCAATTTGATTTCAATCAAGCTGATTATCATTAATTGTTAAGAGTTATTGACATGACAGTTAAGTAAAGTTATATAATAATACATTTACTTTTTTATTATTTACACATTCTATTAATTTGATCTAAATTTTAATTAGAAATAATTTAATTACTCTCGAATAAAGTGGTGAATGAAAAATTGAGATGCTTTTAGGGGACTCAAATTTGGGCTAACTTAAACTTGGTATTAAATTTAGCTCAGTGATTAGCTTATAGTTCATGACCTAAGTTCAAGTTGCTCTAGATCCCCTTATATTTTTTTCTTTAATTTTCATCATGTGGCTTCATGGTATCATGGAACGTGCTTCTTCCTAAAGATCCTAAGTTCGAGCAACTGCATTTACAAGGTATATGTGCGTTGTTAACGATTAAAAAAAGTTCTAAACAAACTTCACATTGAACTCACCCAAACTATTAGAAAAAAGTTAATACTAATAAATAAAAAAATTACACTTGACAAAGCAATGTCCTATAGTTGAATGATCATTTTATAATTTTTAATAATTGGGAGATTTAACAAAACAGTACCCTAAAGTCGAGGGATCAATTTTATAATTTATCCTAATTATTATTGGCGGATAAAGATCATATATGAACCGTAATTATATCATGAAATTGGTTGAACTTACTTTTCAATCAAAGGTTTCTTGTAGAGAGAGATGCCTCCAAATTAGAAGCAGCAGCTAAGTTATATCGATCAAATATATATTCCATAAAAGATATTAACTTTTAAACCCTCCGCATATATAGAATACAGAAGTTGCAGACGGCTTCTACAGAGGGTTTATCAACTATATTCCACACACAAAAAAAGCCTTGCTTCCAATCCCTTCCCTAGGCAGACTATGCTGCGGTAAGGTGAGGATTACCATAAATAACTAAAGAAACAATCTATTAAACTAAATACACAAACAGCAATGCATCTTCAACGCTTTTCCCTATTATTATTATTATATTATTATTATTATTATTATTAGTGCGGCTAGATGAATACGCTTGAAGAAATCAACTGTTTGCACTCATCAAGCCATGATGTTGATTGTGAAGGAGACATAAGGATGAGCGTCGGCGTCACCTCCTAAACCAGCCATTGCTCCACCTTCATCTTCAGCTTTCCAGTACGTACTGCATTTTTAAGGAGGATCACATCAGTTTTCAGTAAAAATATAATCTAGTCAACAGTTTTCAGTGTGGTCAATATTTAAAAGCTTCACAATAATTTTGCAACATCAAATATTCGGTATCTTCAGGATTTGCATAGCCATTGTCATTCACATGCACACAAGCTGGAAAGAATGTATCATGTGTTTTAATCCACTTAAACAAAATTTCCCAGTTAACTATGCTCAGTAAGCAACTTACCACATTTCAAACTAATGAAGTAGTGACTTTTAAATTTATTTCTGCACCGATACCAGGCAGTTTTGCAAAATATAGCCATGATAGCCGACTCCATGTTCACTCTGGTTTCAACAGTTTTACAACACACACCCCAAAAGGGGAAAAAATAGAGGCATTTTAAGCTTACCTGTTTGCACTATCACATAACCCTTCAAGGATGGCCCGCACTTTCTTCTCACCCTTCACAGATGGGGCTAAAACACATCCCTGATAATCAGTTTGAAACCAGCAGTCAGATATATCATATATCAAACAAATGCTGGTTCACAAACAATTATAGAAATCAATGAGTAACTGTTACCAGGAAAGATGGAGGCAAACCATATCTCAGAATGCTCTCTGCGAAGACACGTACAGCACAAAAGTGCATCCAGGAGCTGAAAACCTGCAAGCAACATATTCAGAACCCACTTCAAAATATAGAAATAATAGAGAATCTCAAAGGAAAAGGAAAATACATGATACCTCTCCGTAACTAGCATAGCACCATTGCAAAAGAGAGCTTCGCAAGTTATCTTGGTCTTGCATCAATTTTTCTAATTCCTGCTTCCTGCTTTCCTGTGCTTCTGGACTATATTCAAAATCACGAACCTGAATGGCATCAAAAGAAATGCATCAAAAGGAATATAACATCCTCCAAAAGAGTTACATTTTAAAATTTAAGATTACAGGCTCCATGCATGGAATGACAAAAGTAGCTCTCATATAGAAAAAAAAAACGCAACCATAGAATGCACTCACTTGGAAGCCTCTTTCACGTGCACTAATTCTGAAATTGTCCGCAACACGGCCAAATAAGGTTACAGTGTAAAGAGCATATTCGTTATCTTCATACAACTTCTTGGAGGACCGAGGGACCTGAAAATGCATTTCTTTGTTACACAGAATGACCTCAACATAAAATAAGTTTAATAACTATATATAGAAGTCTGCTGATACAAAGAGTGAATGCCACAATCAGTAAGAGAGATGTTTCTAAATAAAAGGCAAAATCTAACAGCTCCATCAATAAAGCTACAAACTTTATCCCAAAAAATAAACATAAGAAAACGTGGGTATAAAATACCCGTAGTTTCTCACCGTCAATTCAAAGAGGATAATAAGAATAAGAATAAAGTTGTTAGCTGTAAACCTTACAGCTTACATATACTAGTTTACTTCCAAGTAAAATTACTAGGCTTTCTTGCAAATGAAGTTTTATCCCTAGCTCTAGATTTAAACCCTAGAAATTACTAATAATGTTAGTCATCTATCATATGTCTAGAAATGATAAAATAACATAATAACAATTAAAATTAAGAAAAAAAAGCCCCGGCATCACATATCCTTCAAAAACATCACAAGAAGAACAACTTCTCTGACAGGCAATAGTTTAAATAACAAGCAGCTATGAATTGACAACTAGAGTTAGAACTTTGAACCAAAATTATATTGTTTTACCACATAGTTAGTCAATGTTTCGTAACTAGACAGCCAATCCTTCTGTGAATACTTGGGAACAATTGCAAGGAGAGTCACAAGGTGTTCAGAAGTAATGATATCCTCTGGCTTCACTAGATTAGACAGATCACGAACAGCCAAGCTAGAATAGGCAGAAGTCAATCAGCTATTAAAAACATAACATTCTGGCATATGCAACAATCACAGTAAAGAAGTAGACATACCTTCCACTTTGCTTCCGATTTATGGCATTAAGTTGCCCACGCACATTGTTATACTCGGCAACACGAACCTAACATAATAAACAACAATTTAAGACCCAAATTTCCATTCAACCTATTAGAGTCATAAACCAGTATGTATAAAAGAAAGTGAACTACCTTGAGATCATCCTCAATTTTTGCTACATAAGTGTGAATACCATCAACAATTTCCCTCAAAGGGGACATTGTTGGGTACTTTGCTTCATCCCAAACAAACCTGCCATCAAATCACCAAAAACTAACTTGAATCAAAACCCATCGTCCATAATAGTACCCTATCAGATTCATAATTAATGACACGTCCATTAGTAGAAGTTAGAATTTTTTACCTGGTTAGATAAGAATCAACGGGCACTCCATCAACAGTAAGGGCATTGGTTTCCAAGCCAGAGATTCTCTCCAGTTCCTCGATCTGTCTCCTGATTTTGTGGGAAACTCCTTCAATAAAGGTATTTGACTGGACATGCATCCAAATCACAAAAAAAAAAAGGAAATAAAAAATTAAAACTCAAAACCAAATCAAGAAAGTCACTTAATTTCATTTATTTTGCTCTAAAGAAAACGAACAGATATATAAGAAAGACAATAATTTGATGAATAAAAAGCAGGAAGACAAGAAATTGAGAATGGGTTATTGAAGTAAAAAGAGGGAAATTACTTTCAAGAGATCATCACTGAGAGAAAGTAGGGAATCGAGAGTTCCAACACGGAGATTGGGTATATTGAACTGCAATTGAAAAGAGAAAAAAGGATTAGCAAATCAGATCTAACTGTGGGATGGATGGATGGATAGACAGATAGATAGATACTCGGTAGAGAGGAGTGTCGAAGGAATGCTTGGAGATTTGATCTTGTAAGCTATTCCAAAGAGTGGAGGCTGAGTTCTGAACCGGAAGAGACACCACCCAGTACCTGCTCGCCATTGATGGATAAACAAAAGCAAAAATTCAATACAAAGCGGAGAAAGGGATGGAAGAGATTGAGAACGAAGATCGCTCTTATCGTGGCTATGGCAATAAGCAATGGTAAGGAAGGATCATAAAACAAAAATTTTCTATTACTACAACTTTCTCTAATAACTTTTTCTTCCTATTAGTAATTCCTTTTTCTGCATATAAATTCAAAATAATAAACTAAAAGCAGAATAATTCTTTAATTATTATTAATTAATTAATTTCTTTTTACATACTTATCAATTAATTCTAATGTGAGGAGAGTTGTGTAATGGATTTTCTTTTTCATTCTTTTTTCCCTAAATAAATTAACTTGAAAAATAAAATATATTATAAAATTGATAGGGTTAAATACACAAGACATGTTTTGTTAAGTCTCCCACCAATTAAAATTATAAAATGATTTTTTGACTATAAGACGTTTTGTTGAGCCCCAACTATTAAACGTTATAAAATAGTCATCTGACTATTTATATGTTCTAAACTCATCTTTTTCCGTTAAAAATTTGACAGTAGTCTAAGCTGGACATTAACATGTTGACTAAAATATAATAAAATATGATCTTATACTCTAAAAAGACTATCATATCTTAGTCAGCATGTTAATGTTCAACTAAGATGATCGTTAAATTTTTAACGGAAAATGACAATTTTGGAACATAATAATAGTCGGGTGACCATTTTGTAACTTTTAATAGTCGATGGAATCAACAAAAGCAACACCCTATAGTCGGAGGATCGTTTTGTAACTTTTAATAGTTGAGAGACTCAATAAAATAATATCTTATAATCAAGGGACTATTTGTGTACTTTACCCCAATTGATATTATTTATG